CTGGATCACTGAAAAGGAACCTGTTGCAATAAAAAGGTTAGTTTACAGTGCAAAATAAAGCATGTGTTGGACCGCTGAAAATGTAAATGTTGCTCTCTTATTTTCAAACAAAAATCATATTTACAGTATGGATCCTTTGCAACAAACACACAGGGCAGGGAAGATGTGCTGATTGGTGTTTCTATACAATTAATCCCATATGGGGAATTAACTTTCAAATACTAATATAGTGACTTTTTGTCTCAGTTATAAAATATACTGAGCTCATCATGCAAACAATGCAACACATTTACACTATCCCACTCTCATAATAAGTGTAGTGGGCTTATAGTATTTTTAAAGCAACAATCATTCCAGGCATACAGTTCCCATGTGAAATAACTTACAATAAAACAGAGTAATAAACTTATACTTCTATGCAACAGAAAGAATAAAGCAAAAAGATTTAAGTAGGTCTATCAGGTACAACCTATGAGTCATTTCTTTTCTAATATACAGTACTGCTATCTTGCAGAAAGATAAGTCCTGCGCTCACTCCCATCACCACTGGACAGCAGCAAGGACTACAGTACACATCAGCCCCAATATATGGTAAAAACCAAAGAAAAACAAGTTACCTGCGTTCTCTCCTTAATCCCTATGTATTTTTTAAAACCTCCATTTGTTTAAAAGTACTGCTATCTTATATATACACATATACATATACACACACATATATACATAAATATACACATATATACATACACACACATATACATGTACATATATTGGTCACTCAGGACATGAACTCACATTTCCCATACTGCTGACTCAGAGTGGGGACACTACTAACTTACCAAAGTGTGTCCCCAATATAGACAAACAATCACCCACAAAGAACACTTAGGACAAACAAAGGTGACCGGGAGAAAGAGAAGTTTGGGTTATACTTATAGATCTACAAACCGTGCTGCTCAGAACACCTATAGACTTAATAAACCGGAGACCTCTTATGGTCTCAAAAACCTGTATCTACCTGAGATACCCTGTATCTATCTTAGATACTAACCTGGGTTACCAAAACCCTATAATAAGCCGGAGACCTCTTATGGTCTCAAAAACCTGTATCTATCTTAGATACTAACCTGGGTTACCAAGAACCCCTATATATATTTAGACCAAATGTCTAATAAACCGGAGACCTCTTATAGTCTCAATATAACTAGAGTCCTTACACCTTTCCTATCTACTGGATACAGACTTACTGAACCAAAGGGGGGTCATAGACAATCAGCGTCAAATAAGACACAAAAAGGCTACTCACCGCAAATGGTTTTGCTGATCCAACTTCTATCCCACTTCTAGACACCAAGCTGAAAGGGTTAATGTTGTAATGGACTCTAATTCCCTCGGTTCTCGATCCCTCGGTCACCATAATCAACGTTGATGGAGAATCATTTGTAAGCAATAACACACGGACAACAGCTTTACAAGACTCTCAAATGAGTGTATTCCAGAGCTGGCTTTTATACATAGTTTGCTTACATTAGCCATGGTATATGCAAATACAGTACAGATTATAAGATTTATTACTTCCTTGTATTACGTTATTCTGACAATGGAAAGATAAGCTTTTGCATACGTCTGGAAAAGAATATCCTTAAAATCGGAATGGGCAAGACATCCTGAAATTTAGCATTGTCTTACATCCTATAGAAGAAATACCTTAGTCTGTCACAGTCAGCATATTATGTACAATATCCCTTCAGTCAGCAATAATCATGTTATAAACCTTATAAAAGCATAAAATACATATAAACAAGTTAACTATTTAATATTCTTACAAGTACATGCCGATGTAAGGTCCTATTGTAATACGTGTGAGGTATGCCAACGGGTAGGCAAACGAGGAGACCACCCCAAGGCACACCTCGTGAACATGCCCATTATCGATGAGCCGTTTAGCCGGGTAGCCATCGACTTAGTCGGGCCCCTAGCTACCCCTAGTCCCTCTGGCAAGAGATACATTCTTACCATAGTGGATTACGCTACCCGCTACCCAGAAGCTGTGGCTTTATCTAATATCCAGGCTGACACAGTGGCTAATGCCTTAGTACAGGTATTCTCTCGGGTAGGATTCCCTAGGGAGATCCTATCCGACAGAGGATCACAGTTTACGGCAGAGCTGACCCAGCAGCTATGGCACGTTTGTAAAATAAAGTCCCTGCTTAGCTCTCCGTACCACCCCCAGGGTTATGTGAGCAGTTCAACGGAACCCTCAAGCAGATGTTAAAAACCTTTACTCAGGAGTATAGGGACTGGGAACGTTTCCTGCCGCACCTCTTGTTCGCTTACCGGGAAGTGCCCCAGGAAACCACCAGGTTCTCTCCCTTTGAGCTGTTATACGGTCGCAAGGTACGGGGTCCCCTGAACCTGATCCGTGAGCACTGGGAGGGAGAGACCGAGAACGCTGGGGTCCCCATCGTGCCTTATGTACTGGAACTCCGGGACCGAATGGAGCAATTGGCTAAGTCAGTCCAGGCCAATCTCCAGGCGGCCCAGGGGCGACAGAAAGTCTGGTACGACCGGGGGGCACGACGAAGAAGCTTCTGTCTCGGGCAGAAAGTCATGGTACTAAAACCAGTTAAGGCAGACAAGCTACAGGCAGCCTGACAGGGTCCCTACCAGATAGTGGAAAAGAGAGGGGACACAACTTATGTAATTGCCAGCTGTCACGATGAAAACTTAAGAAAGATCTTTCACGTGAACATGCTGAAGGAATACTTGCAGAGACCCGAGGAAGTGTCAGCCATATGTAGCCCTGCGCACGAGGACACAGATAGTCTCCCCATACCCGACTTATTAACCCCTAAATCCCCGGCTGAAATAGTGAGCCAAGTACAGATTGGGGACAGACTTAGCCCAGTTGAGAGGGAGCAGCTACACAAACTGCTCCGAGAGAAACAAGCCATGTTCTCCCAAGAACCAGGGTACACTGAGCTGACCACGCACCAAGTAGATACCCCCGGCCAAAACCCCTTGAGACAGGCGCCCTACCGAATTCCAGAGGCAGTAAGGACAGGCATGAAAAGAGAAATAGATGAGATGCTGCGTCTAGGGGTCATTGAAGCTTCCGATAGCCCCTGGGCATCCCCGGTGGTTCTGGTCCCCAAAAAGGACGGCACCACCAGATTCTGTGTGGACTACTGGAAACTCAATGACAAAACTGTCACCGATGCCTACCCCATGCCCAGAGTGGATGAGCTGCTAGATCGCATAGCCAGGGGGAACTACCTAACTACCATTGACCTCTGTAAAGGTTACTGGCAAATTCCCCTGGCCAGGGAGGCTGTCCCCAAGTCGGCCTTCGTCACCCCATTCGGTTTGTACCACTTTAAGGTCATGCCGTTCGGGATGAAGAATGCCCCCGCTACATTCCAACGCTTGGTGGACAGACTCCTTGATGGCTTCCAGAAGTTTGCCTGCGCATACCTGGACGACATAGCGATCCATAGTGAGACCTGGGAGGAACACTTGGCTCATGTGGGAATAGTTCTGGACCAGATTCGAGCCGCCGGCCTGACGCTAAAGCCAGAAAAATGCCACTTTGGAATGGCTGAGGTGCAGTACCTGGGCCACCGGGTAGGCTGTGGGAAGCAACGTCCGGAGCCAGCTAAAATAGAAGCGGTCGCCAACTGGCCCACTCCCCACACTAAGACCCAAGTGTTAGCCTTCCTGGGTACCGCTGGGTACTACCGAAGATTTGTACCAGAGTATAGCGCCATTGCCAAACCCCTGACTGACCTGACGAAGAAAAACCTTCCCCGACAGGTCCTGTGGTCTCCCCACTGTGAAACTGCTTTCCAAGCCCTCAAAACTGCGTTGATTAATGCTCCTGTCTTGGCTGCCCCAGCCCCTAATCGAAGTTTTATTGTCCATACAGACGCTTCCATGTTCGGGCTGGGAGCTGTCCTCAGCCAAGTAGGAGATGATGGGAAGGAACATCCGATTGCCTACATCAGTCGAAAACTCCTACCACGCGAAGTCAGTTACGCTGCAGTAGAAAAGGAGTGTTTGGCTCTGGTGTGGGCATTAAAGAAGTTAACCCCCTATTTGTATGGACAAGAGTTCACTCTGGTTACAGACCATAACCCGCTAGTGTGGCTCAACCGGGTCGCTGGCGACAATGGCAGATTGTTACGCTGGAGCTTATCCCTGCAACCCTTTAATTTTACAATCACCTACCGACCCGGGAAGCAGAACGGCAACGCCGACGGATTATCCCGGCAAACAGATCTCAGCCCAGCATAACTCTACAAGTCTGGACAGCCTTAGTCCGCCCCGAAAAGGGGTCAGACGGTGTCTGCCAGAGTGTTCCACAAAGAGGGACCCCCCAGAATTGGCGTGTGCCGCCACTTAACCCCGTCACCCCGCAAACTGCCGAACGCTCGACCACCCAGCCAGCGGCGTGTGGCAGCCATTAACCACCCAGGCAGCTGCGGTTTGCGGTTAACCACAACGTAATTGATAAGCCTGGGGGCATCGACGTTCGCCTCTAAATACCGAACGGAATCCACCGAACTAACAACCGAATGACGACCCCCTACCGTGGGCCGCGTGGCGGTCCTTAACTTGTGGTTTCTGCGGTTAACCGCAGGTCAAGTACCCTGCTACCAGGTGGCCCCATTCCCTTACCGAACGAGCCCCACTACCAGACAAACAGCGGGACTTCGCATGAACTGATACCGAGTTTAGTTCCAGGAGTTAGACACGAAGTCCGGCTGCTCGCTAAATCAGCAGAAAACATGGCCGCCAACAAAGACTCACAATCTCAAAATGCCGAACGGACTTTATACAGCAGGAACAGTCCATTCTGTTCATGAGATTAGAGCGCCATTCGCCTGTTTTATCTATACGAACGCGAGCCTTCAGCTGAATGGTAGAATGAATGGTTTTCCTGTAATAATGTACAAGTTATGGATTTTTATGTAGTTTTCTGGGACATAATAAAACGTGGTCTTTTGTGCGCTTGGAGATAATTAGATTGTAAAACCGTTGGCCTCATTATCTCCAAGCTGGGCGGATACTAATTCAAATGATACAGTGTACTGTGATTGGTTACCTGTTTGTACTGTACCTGTATTCCATCAGGTCCACAGGGGGCTGTCCTTGGACCTGAGGAATCACATAAATTGCCATGCTATGTGCCAGTAAAGCCAGTTCATTTTGACCCTCAACTTGCAGCCTCGACTCATGTTGTAGGGATCCGGGATATTGATGCTTATTTCGTGCTTGGGGATATTCTACACTTGCAGCTTGCTACCGAAAGACCTCCGTTCGACTCTCTACAGCGGGAACCAGGACATCCAAGCGATCAACCCTCCTGCTACACCGGGGGCAATCGTAACAAGGGCTATAAACACAGTAGCCTGATCCAGGGTGGGAAAAGCCCTAAGTGATCCCAGTCAAGCCTCAGCGACTGGGTCTGAAGTGCTCCAGGGTCACTGATAGCTACGAGGAAGCAGACTTGGCGGAGGTACTCGGTGTGAGTACTGGAGCTCCGTCACAGTTATATCTGCTGAAAAAATAAACTTACGTAACACCCTATAAAGAACACAATAATGTATCACTCCTAACCCAGAATAACATACTGTCCAGGGTATCACCAAAGGGAGAATTCTAAGTGAAGTTTAAATAGAAAGTCGGAGAAGCTGGAATTAGAGAAAGTTTCGAGTTCGGCCATTGTGGCCTTAAAATGTAAATTCAGCTTAAATTCGAATTTTTGTAAATAACCCTGTATGAGTGCTATAATTGCATTAACCTCTTCACTACCAAGCCATTTTTCTAATAAATATCTGGACATTTATTGGAAAGATGGAGTGCGTAGACTATACGATAAAGAGTGGTTTGTGTAGAGACTGCTGTTCAGACAAACATAAAAAA